TTTTTTCTTCCATACGTAATACGTTAAAAAATATATTTCAAAATTAATAAAGATTTGAATTTTGTTAAGATAAAAGATTATAAAACACTTTTTTAATTGAAAGTTTCTAAAGAATCTTTAACACTATCCGTGACGGCCTATTTTTATTTTCTCAGTGATGGGGGGGGGGGGCTTTCTGGCCCCTCCTTTTTTTAATATCTAATATTTGTACATGCTGCTAGTGAGAGAACCTGTTGTTAAAATATTTGAATCTCACCACTGGTTAAAGCATTATACACCCTAATATTGTTAAACATATTACTAATGCCATGCTCAGACAATGAAAATATTATACCCCCCTAATATCGTTAATCATATTATTACTAACTGTCATATCCGGACAACTAAATCATTCTAAACCCTACGTTTGTTAATAGTGAATATTTGTGAAAAGCAAAACTATTTAACTATTCTGTACCATTTATGAAAACATCCAGCTCCAATTACACTAGGTCAACGCCACCTGTTAAATAGGTTACAAAAACTCTGAAGCATCCTCAATGTTTTATATTTAAGAATTGAAATGTTCTAGTAAAAAAGAAGCTACAGTACCAGCAGCGGTGTGTGCCAGAACACTTACCTGGGGAAACTTGTACAACTGTGTTTAGTCCTGTGAAGAACACTTGCAGGTTTGGTCATTCGTCCAGCACCTCGAGCAACACACCTCCAAATTGTTATTTCCGCTAACGTTGCCATCTATGTAGGAAAATATTAAAACTGATAACTCGGAAAAAAGAAATAAAAGAAAAAAAATATGTCTAAACATTTAAACACACACCATTAATCCATTTGTAGTGAATCATAAATAAATAAATAAAAAATCGGCTGCTGAACAAAACGAACCGACTTTGATATTTCCGATAAATTCTGACGTTGCTGAGATAGTAGTCGTGAACTTGTTTATTTTTCAATAATGACAACAACAAAAAATAGAAGGGAAGAGCAAAATATCAATTTATATAATTACTTCGCATGATAATATTATCCACCGATAATAGTAAAGAGCTACAATTTTTCACTTCAGACAACCAGCACACTTTAAGAAGATGATAAAAAACCAACAACAAAGGTTTAGACTTTTAGGCACGCGTGTGTAATATTTATCACTCAAATCAAATTCGGTTTTAAATTGCACGGCAAAAACTTTTACCGTCCTACAGTGGTCATACATTCAGTAAATTACAAATGTGTGAATTATATTGTCTGTGACGGAAAAACATTTTTCAAGGTGGAAGGTGAGGATAAGATGGTAGAACCTCCGATAATCACCCCCCCCCCCCAAAAAAAAACACTTTAAAACTAAGTACTGTATGAGCCGGATGGTAACGTTGTATAATTTGGCACGTGTTGCCTAATATATGTATATAAGTATACTACTGTAAGTATAATCGATTGATGACAGAATTGATAATGTAATGAAATACTTTTAGCTAAAAGTCATTAATCAAGTGCGCTCACAGCCAAAACCAACAGTAAATACACGATGACAAAGTTCAACAGAGAGAACTTAAGTCGCCTAGACGAGGCCATGGCATTCCCAACTGAGTGATCCTGTACATAACGGCCGCGTGCGTATGGGTGAAGTAGAACAGCTCAAGTAAGTCCTGGTACTAGTACTGCCTTAAAAAATAAGTACCGGTATCAGTACCGGCAGAATTTGACCCCTGCTAACTAACATATGTGCTTTAACTTCTGTAACATTATAACATCACTCCTTGATATTATTGTTTTATCAGTTAAAACGACTTTCACTCTACAAATTGTTTTTGTGGGAAAAGGAGGAAGCTACTGATATCACAAACAGTTGGACTTCGATATGAATAGTATTGAGGGCGATAAAGATTTATGAAAGGAATACTAGTCCTAAGAAGTTTTTGAATATTTCTTTTTGAAAATGAAGTTTTTACACCATACTTCAATCTATATTTCAACATCAACTTGAGGAACCTACGGATCAAGCTGGTATAAATGATAGCGTACACGATATATTTGTGTTACTATTGGAAACAAAAAACAATAGGCCTTATAAATTGTGGTGCCACACAAGTAAATACATCTATATCGCAAGTGTGTGTAGAAGCAGTACAGCTTTTACTTTGCACAACATCTGTTCACACCAAAAACCTTGTGCAGCTAGACAGGGCTTGGAAATAGAGTTTCAGTTGTTTATTCTAGGAAATGCAACGTACTTATGACATGAACCACACTCAGGATGCACATTCTGGATGCAGCCATACAGAACCGATTACAAGCATAATAACTTCTTATTTGAAGTAAGCAATGGATGAAATATATATATCTGCGATATTCAATACTTAATTCTAACTCATACAGTTAAAGATACATTCAACCATATGATTATTGGTGCTATTTATTCTCTTTACATATCACACCAAGATGAGTCCCCCTTGAGATGGGCTTGTTCCACCCCAGGGAGTGGACAAAGACCAAACTGGTACAAGCTTTTACAAGATAGACACTGCTGTATGGAACCTCTGCCTCAGTAAAAGAATTAGTACATACTTACAACCTTCTGACATCTGGTTAACAAGAATGTCATGAATACACATAGAACCCCTGTCAGAAAAACAAAACATATTATACTTAACTATAATCAGTCATTTCTACTGCAACAAATAGTGCATTATTGCTCCTAGATAAACCTCTGACAAGAATCTTTGTCTGAGATGCCACTAAACAGATTATTTATCTTAATATTTTCTCTATAGAAATCCCTTAATGAGCAAAACCATATTTAATATACACACATTTGTTATATATTAAAAGCATTTTGATATTCCTATACTGGAAATTGGGATACCAAACTAATTTTAAGGTGGCTACTCAGCTTTCATGTGTGTATTGTATGAAACATGCACGTTTCTTTCCTTTTCTCTCAGTGCTTTTTTCTGAGTGGCAAGTCAGGTGATGTCCTGTGGATAAATATCACCTGTTTCATAGTGACTATGACTGTCTGGTACCTGCCATCTGAGAAGAATGTTATTGTTGTTTATCCTATATAATATCATGTTTTCTCAGTCCAGAACATGATTTAGAGAAATATTAATTTGATTTAAAACACACTCTAGTAAATGTGCTAAAATATGCTTGTCTTTAAGCTTTGACTATGTTTGTGTATTAGAATTAAAGATTATTCCCCTGTGTGACATATTGTGTGCAGTCTCTGCTTCACACTCAGTCGAGGTTAAAAATTGCTGATTCTGCTCGGCAAAACATTTTCAGGAGAACCTCTAGTTATTCTGTGGCTCCTACCCAATTACTTGCACAGGAATCAGTGATCCTGAGAATACCACACAAGCATTAAGACCATTAAAGTAGTGATTTGGGTTGATTTAAGTAGGATACAAGTACCTCAATATACAATACTTACATTCTATTAAAAACTGCTGCTTTGTCAATGAGTTAGAAAAAAAATAATTTGGATATATGTTTGTAGTCTCAGGTTAGGCTTGATACTGTTAATTAGGGGAAGAAACCTGGAACACATACACTTATAAAAAAAATAAATAAATAAATAAATAAACATATGTACAATACAAGTATGAGAATTTAAATACAATTAACCTAAATACACACAATCTGTATTTGTAAACTGACAGGCCTGTATGTATTGAAAACATATTAATGACCAATGAATTGAATGATTTAATTTTCCTAGTTTAGCCTTTTCAAACATCAATTAATTAGACAGACAGTGCTATTTCATTTGTTTGTGTATATAAAAATGTGTAAAAAAATACATAATCTTGTAAGGTTTACAAACAACATTTTTCATATTGCATTACATATAATGGCTTGCGATGTTTAAAGGAGAGGAAAATATTAAGTAATTTAGCAGTCACATTCACATAGAAGGTTTGATCAAACTTGAATAGCAAATTTTACTCTGATAAAACGAAACTCCATCATGTTGTCATTGGAAACGTAGAGATGGCCAATCATACAGTTTATTACTCAAGAAGCTCATTTATATAAATAGTCTGTCAAAATTTTCTACAGTTGGATTGAAGTGCAGAGAAATTTTTTTTTTTAAGACTTCAAAATTAGAAAACAAAATTGAAGTGTCTGGTAAATTACAACTGATCAAGAAATTTAATCATAAGAACTTATGCAAGTTCTATTTAAATCATTTTAAGCATAACAAAGATGTTACATGGAAAGAAATGGATGTTCTACAGCCCCAGGTTTTGTTCTCTGCTCTGCAGTTAAGAGAAAAAAATGTTTACCTCTGATGTTGGTTTGTTTTTGGTAACTTTTAAAGTCATGAATGTATTTATTAAAATCTTACAAAAAAAAAAACTTTGTGAAAACAAAACATACTTTATTATCAAAAAGCATTATTATTGATATCAAAGTTATTCTTCAGCTTGGAAATATTAATATTTACATTGATTCAAATCTTTTCTGCTGGTATGAAAATATAAACATATTTGTCAAAGTACTTTTACATTGTTATCCATATAAATTTTGTGAAAATAACAAACTCTTTTCCAAAATATTCAAGAAAAACCTCCCTTTAAAACAAGCATTTCATATTATTAATAAAGTCTGTATATGAACTGAAGAGCTCTAAAAATGCAAGGTTTGTTTTACTTCTCAGGGATAAATGCATTTTTTTGGTGCTCGTGAACAGAATTCATCCAGGAGATATTTGCACTAAGATAAGTTACATGTAAAACAATATTTTATTGGGAAAATTCTGCTTTCTAAAAAGTATCATATGGTAACTTTATGTAATTGTGTTTAAACTAAATGCACTTAACAGAGAAAAAAAAATCTTAGAAAAAAAAGGAGCAATACTTAAAAGATCCATCTCTTAGAAAGTTCCTTGGAAAAGATGGACATTAATTCAATGGTATTTATTTAATTGGTTTAAATTTACACAACAAAGGACTAACAGTAACTTTTTTTTTTTTTTTTTTTTTTTTATATAAAGAAAAATTGGTTTAATATTTTTTATGTTGTTGTTTATTATAAGAAAAACTTCATGAAGCAGCTCTTAATTATATCACTACACTAGAACTGGCAGAAGAATAAAGAATTAAGTAACCCTACCTTTAAACCAATAACATTAAATGCAGATTAACGTTATTCACATCACACACATAATTACGTCTGTTTGTTTTACAAATTTTACTGAGCTTATCTTGTGATAATACATGCATTATCACACATCTTTATCAAGTGAAACACAACACTTATCATACTAGATCTAAATTACCATGTTCTACTCTTAAGTTACGATTGTGCGAACACTGTGAATGAATCATCAAAATAATGACAGCTGACACGTTATTGTCTACAACACTCCACCCAACATTTAAACTTACACTATTTTATTAATTACTTAGAATTTTCAACTAAACAAAAACACGTTCTCCCCTCACTAAAATGGGTTAATAAATATGTTTATCGTGGTGAACTTACAATACTTAAAACTATGAGAAACAGCTCTTGTGTTAATTATTTCAGGCATATGGCATTTTTAACTTCACGTTTATGAAGCTTAAATACTTGACGTGGCTTGGTTCAAATTTTAACTGGTTAACTTTTTTTTTTTTCTTTTTTTTTTTGTACAGCAGTTAGTGTGATGTAGATAGTTTGGTAGATCACAATGTCACAGTTTATTCTTTAGAACTCGAGTAAACATCTCCTACGTTTTAGAAATTTTTGGATATTTTCAAATATAAAGTTTATTTTTTTTATCGGTGTTGAAAATATAATTACATAACATAGTATTACTATTACTAGTATTAGTAGCCACACACGATTTACTAAGAATAACTTGCCATCTTTCAACGAATCAACTCAAAAAATATTTAACCTCAACATGAAACTTTTAAGCTCAATATTCTAAGATTTATACATATATATATATAAAGAATTAATAATATATGGACCCTAATCCCCCCCCCCCAAAAAACGACAACATTTAATGTAACTTATTATTTCTGCGCTAAGCATATTAAGCCATTTACTTGTTAGTAATATATATAATATAATAACTAATAGAAATAACAATATTACATTTAAAACGAAGTGAAACACGCATATCATATGGACTTTCAAAATATTCCAATCTAATAATTTACTGTACGGTAACGCGCTATACTACGTTAGCATTTTGATTTGATATTTTGTGTGATAGACAAGTTTGCTCACCTATAACTATCAAGAAAATCCAACGACAACAGCAAGTAGTTTAGTCTCAAATCAATATTAATTATTATGAAGTTATGTACGTAAGCTGCACTTGGTCACGAACCATACATATTCACTACAATAACTAACCATCAAATAGAAACGGCAAAGTTCAGGATAACGCTCTATATATAGACATACCTAATTGAAGAGATAACAGAGGACGCTACAAGCAGAAATAGTTCATACGTTTTTTATTAACTAACAAAATGTTCACGTGAAAGAAACACCATAAGGTAAATATTTTACCAATAGCTCAGGTTCTAATGTATGATAGAAATAGAAAATAATCATAGCTATATTTTCATTCGCATGCTACAATAATTCAGAATAATTTTATCTAATGATAGTTCTTGGAACTTGGGAATAATGTGTACAATTTTAATAGACAATAATAACTTGTATTGTTTAATGTACATAATTAACAGGCAATAATCTATTTTATATTCAGTTGTTCAATATACATCGTTGTAAAATATTGTTGCGTCAGCGAGTCACATGACTACAGTGACGCAACGTTTCTAGAACTATCATGTACTTTGGCGAATGTTCTAGTTCTTACTAGATATAGGGTAGGCTGGTATATAAAAGAGGGGATTGTAATATGTGGGTAGATAGTGAGTAATTGAACTGCAGTCACAGGGTATTGTTGAAGTTAACGTTCGTTCGTTACAGTGTTGTTTTAGCGCGAGTATTGAGGTTAAGTGTATCGCAGAGTTATATTCGGAAAGAATAAACCAGTTTTATTAAGTAAAGACTTGTGTCGCTTAAATTTCGTTGGAACGAAGTTACGGAAAGTTAATTAACAAACGGAGACGTAACAATATAGACCAATAACGTTCTATTAATAACTTTCTTTATTCACATTAGACTGATACCACTTTATGCTCTTTGCAAAGTATAATTTTAATGTCATAAAGAGAACAAAAAAGTAAAGACACTAAGCAAAAGACAATTTTATCACTTATAAAGATGACATTATCCAATAAAATTTTGACGTGTTTAAGGTCTTAGTATAAAATTTGCGAAATTCAAATACGATATATTGTTACAACCAATTATGGTTACGTCCGAGATACTTCAGCGATACAATTCTTTTCTTAAATAAAACTAATTTATTCTTTCTCAATTCAACTCTGTAATACACTTAATTTCCACAGTCACTTTAACTTAAACATACGCTATAATTCACAACGAACGATTCAAGCACTTTAGTAACTACCGCGCTTGACTCAATTGTCCGTCTCTATCTCTGCCTTTCTGCAATTATCTATCTATACTGTCACTTCTCGCCGGTCTTATATATACGAAATAGAGGGCGTCTGGCAAACACTCGAGCCTTCACAAACGTTCTAGATACTCATTACGTGTTACCAGCGTCACGTGAATTCCGCTGTCGTAACACTGCCCCTTCCTTAGTATTGTTCTTCCCGAACAATAACCACTTAAATTAAACTAATAGATAATTAACAATAACTTAATTAAATGCACAGAATTTTACAAACATAAAATTAAACTTCAACAAAGTCTCTTAATTTTATGGGAAGTTTCTTCCTCCGTACTGGTCTCCGTCTCGTTGGCTTCTGTTTCACGTAAACTTCATCTGCTCCATCAGGAAATGTCCTATTATCGGTAACAGTCACATCAGTAGTAGTAACTTCATTAAGGGCTTCACTGTTTCCCTTCTCAAAACCGGGTAGAGTTTCTTCTACGACAGTGGCTTTTTCAGGTGACACGTCTTCAGCAGCGTCATTTGTTCTATTATTTATTTCGTTCCAACTGAAATGTCCTGGACTGTGATAATGCCAAAGACTGTTAGCATGCAC